CGCGGACGGACGGGCGGGCGGGCGGGTAGAGCAGCAGCCTGAGCCCTCGCTTCGGTCTCGCTTGCCGTAAGCGCGGTGGTGGGCTGCCCGGGAGCCGTTCTTCCAGGGCCGTGTCTCAGTCAGGTGATGCCTTAGACAGATGATGTACAAAATCTGCCTTAGTCAAATCTGAAACAATGCTCCAAAGGGAGGGGTGACCCTTGCCCTCTTCCCCTCCCTTAACAGTCAAGAGCTTGTCTCAGACTAAGTTGTAAGAAGCTGTATTGCTTTCAGAATACCGTTCTCACTAGCCTTTAGCTGAAGAGACTTGTCTTTTCCTCCTGCCGCTTTACCTGAACGGCAAGGTATTAAGGTCTTTCTGGCATAGACGTTAATATGCTGCTTCACGGTAGCAGCTGTCGAGCGTCTGGCAAAGGCAAGCAGCATGGCTGAAGCACAGCCGTAACTGCAGCCTGTAATTACGGGCATGAGAGGGGATTCTGCAGCCTGAGCAGCGCGTACAGAGGCAGTTACCAGCCAGCTCCTACTGAAACCAGACGGACTGATCCAGAGCCAGCCTTTTTCTCTGAGGCCAGAGGCTGTGACCTCAAAAAATCCCCAAACTTGCGTGATGAAATCTCAGGTCTTACCGTATCTAATTAGCTGGCTGCTGGCTGGCAAAAGCAGCACCTGCCTAGATGGCTATTGCCACTGGCTCTGGGTCCGACAGAGCCATAGCGCCTGATGCCACTGTGCAGAGCCTGAAGGACTTGCCCTGCCACCGGGCAGCAAGAGCACCGAGGGAGACCCAAGCCCTGGGACTGGCGTCCAGGGCGCACTGAAGCCAGCCACAGAGAAAAGATGTGTTGTAGGCTGTGCGGTGTACCTGGTGAATAGGGAATGATTGTTTATTGCATCTTTCAAGAGAACAAGTAAGGCCTTCAGTCCATAAAGTCCTCAAGGCCGCTTCTTTTCCTTGACGAGTCGTGATGGACCTGGCACTGTATGTGCAGTACACCAGAAGGGTCTTGGGCCATGCTCATTTCGTGACTGAACACGGACTATTTGGGGAAAGATCTGGCCGTTGTGGGTGGTCACAGTGGTCTCACTGGGTAGATCGGATGACAGTCCAAGTTCATCCAGATGGGTTTGGGAAGGAGTTCGGGAAAAAAGACGGGGGAAGCACAGGTTGTTCAAAAGGGATCTAGGAGAAAAGCAGAAATTTAGCAGCAATTTCTTACAGGATCCATTACTGCATTTTTGTTGCTGTCATTAGTATAAGCTAGGAAATATCTATGAACTTGGAAACAGGTGGAAGAATTGGCACAGTATGCAAATACGGCAGTGTACTTTCTCTCTTGGTGATACCAGCAGTACTGTATTTTCTGAGGCTGTGGAAACTTTAAAAGTAACGCTGGCCGGCCTGGTGAGTTCCGTGTGTGGCCTGTGGTTTGTATAAAGTCCAGACGACTTTCTGGGATGTGCTGGTCAACATGCAATTGTAGCAGATGGGAGCGTCAGGATTGCAAAAGCAAGTCTGTGGTGGCTGTGCTGCTGCATCCTGTTTAAGTTGGCCTGACTTTTAGTTCACTCCTGGGTAATGACATAGGAGAACTTTTTATGCAGCAGGTCTGTGAAACTTGTAGGCAAACCAAACTTCCCCGTTTCCCTTGTAGCTCTATAGTACATTCCAATTATTAATCTGCACATCAGTCACCAGATGGTAAAATAATGATATAACTTCAAATATGTTCTCCCCTCGGAACTAAGAAACACTGTTCTCGGTTCCAGTCAGGGTAGGCTGAGAAAAATATGTATTTTCTAGTGACGTTGAACAGTAAAGTGACATGAACAATTTCACTGGAAACAACTCTAATATCTCATGACTGTTCAGCCCACCTGTCCCTCTCAGCACAGAATTCCCCTCAAAGAAAGAGAAAAACGTTTTTAAAGTCTGTTCACTCTGATGGACCAGGCCCCTGAAGCTGAACATCTCTAGAGCAGAGGTTTAACAGAGTATCATTAAGTCAAGGGGATAAAAATGTGCAGGTTTTTTGTTTTTTTTTTATAAGATGCAGAAAGCAAAAAAAAAAAAATTAATATTTTCCTTTCTTTCCCCCTCATCCCCACATTCAAAATAGATGACTAGTGTGTGATTTTTTTTTTTTACTTTCCAAGACGTTAAATTTGTAGATACTTGAACAATAGAGTTCCTCACCACAAATGCATCATGGTTTTGTGTTGAAATTCTAGGTTTAGGAATTCTTTGCTTATAGAGAGAGAAATTTCAATGCAAGTGCAAGTGTTTTAGTAATACCAGTATGAGTGAGAACTACAGACTCATTCAGGTCAGAAAGGAAGGCAATCCTTTTGTGGAGGTCTCTAGTCCAGCCTCCTACTCAAAGCAGGGTCAACACTGACTTCCAACCACATCACTTGGGGCTTTCTGCAGCCTGGTCTCAAAAGGACCTAAGGGTGAAGGTTCTACAGCCTCCACAGACAAGCTTTTCTACTCTTTAATTAACCTCCCAGTGATTTTTTTTTCTCCCCTTTTATCCAGTTGGAAGTGACTGTGTTTGTGTAAATGTGTGGTAACTTCATAAAGACAAAATTTCAAGTTCCCAATTAAAATTTATTGAGTTAGTAAACACAAGTTTGGAAAAAAAAAAAATCAAGAAAGCTAGCTTTGCAGAATACCCTGATGTTTTGCACACCATTCATTACCCACCCTATAAAGTTGTCCATTAGTGACATCAAATCAGCAGTGGCCAGGGGCAGATACAGTTGTCCAAAGTAATAGAAGCCCAACTCAGCCTGTCCTTTACGGTTATTTACGAAAGCAGCAAATCAATGACACATTGAATGATAAACTGATTTATTTAAATTTATAAAAAATAGTATGTAAGGGTCCACTTGAAATAGATGAGTACTTTTGGATGGTATGGGTTAGCAGGCTCAATTTTTTGGGAGGTATTTGTCTGCATCCTTAAACAGGGAAAGGTGAGCGTTATTACGAAAGCAGCAATGCTACTGTTTTTTGGAGCAATTAAGATGCACAAAGATGCTGGTAGATCATCATCCTGATAAACTGAGACCAGAAAGAGGCTAAATGTTGAGGAAAAGCTGCGGTGTGGGATTTCTAGACCCTGCTGTTACCATTATTGATTATGTCTTTTTTTTTGTGTGTGTGTCCAGGTATTTTCTGTTGTCTCGAGTAGATGTTCCAGTTGGCTGGACACAAGCAAGCTCTGAGTGAGGAGGCAAGCAGCGGTGTTAGCATGAAGATAAGCCCAAGGTAGTATGGCTTGTTTTACCTTGTCTACAAAATACTGTATACCCGTGTACTTAAATGAACCTCTCTTGTATGGCTAGGACCAGAAAGGCCACCAGAAGCAGAGTTTTAAATGGCCCCCAAAACTGGTTGCACAATCCACAGAATAAATAACACTGTGTAATGGGGTCACGTTCTTTCATTAATGAAATTGCATGTTAGAGTTAGCACTACAGAAAGACTGTACAATTGAATTTACTGACTCTTCTGGTTTTGCATTCATCCTTTACTGGCACAAGAAAAACACCTTCAGACTACAACAGCAGCAGCTCCAAATAACCTTAATTCAAGTTCCTTCCCCCAGAAAGAACAGTCAGAACTTTGCTGTTAGAAAAGGCTTTTTTAAAGAAAACAATCTCTTCGCTAAATGGAAGAAAAAAATGCTTTCCTCAGTTATTTTTTTTTTTCAAATGAGACAGTTGTTTTTCTTGGCGGGGGGGGGGGGGGGGGGGGGGGTTTGCG